AAAGATAGAAAAATCCATTGCTTATATAATGTTTGTTTGGATTTGAAATATCATTTATATCCTGTCAAAATATTGATAGATTGATGAAAGAGCTACTGTTTGGTGGAAGGAACTAATAAGTTAAAATATGAATGATTATACTGCCTGGTTTATCTAGTAGGCAAAGTTGGCAGAGTCTACTTCCAGGGGTGTTTTTGGGTGATCCAATTCTTGAATTGTCTCTAACCAACAGAAAGGCTTTTTTATTTGTTAGAACTGTATAAATAACCATTTTCCTTTGAAAGGTTATATAAAGTAGCACCTGCATAACTCCTCCTCCAAAAAGGAGAAATAAAGATACGTATACATTTGCATGAATACATGGATAAGTGTATAGATGCAGATGTGAATACTATTTGGTATAGCATAATTTGAAAAAAAAAAAGACTTGTCATGGTAGACTGTGACCAAGTGATCTAGTGATTCCTGAACACGCTGTTTTGATCAAAACAGACTTTCACTGTACAAGCATGAGGTGATGGTGATATAAAATAGGAAGTTAAGAAAGAGACTACTTCCATAGGGTCACAAACTGAGAAAAGGGCAAATATATGCTTTTATTTTCTTCATTGGTAACTGCATTTTAATTAATCACCCCTATTTTTTCTGTCGCTATTATTTGACCAGTAGTAGTACTTTCACAAATATCTCTACTAAGTGCTTTATTTGAATATCTAGAGTAGTAAAATAGAAGATTTCAGGGAGATGAATTAAACGTCCCTGAGCTGAAAACTGTTATACTGAATGTAGGAAGGCTTGAAGCTCATTTTAAACTTTATGGTGACTACAGCTGTCTGTTTGTCTGTCTGTCTGCCTGCCTGCCTATCTATCTATCGTTCATCTACACTGCCCATATCATCTGTATGGCTCTGGGCAATTCTTAAAAGAAATATCTCTGTTGTAAAACTTCCTAATATAGTTTTAATTATTTCAAAGTCCTAAAAAAAGTGAAGTGATGAAGAACATATATAAGAGCTTGAGTTTTCCAGTCTCTACTATTTTTCCCCGAGATAGAAATAGTAAAAAAAATATTTGGAAAGTATCTCCTTGTCTTTGGATTGTGTTTCAGAGGGGACTGAAGTAAGTCCAACTGCAAACTATATACAACGTGTTTAGTATCTTCTGTGGACTATTTCAAAAGCTACTCTATTTGGAACAGAAAGATAATGTAGAACTATTTATGCCTTTCTCTGAGGAGAATTTGTAAATGCAGTCACTAAAGTTACTCCCTGGGGTAAAGGTTAAAGTAAATGATTTAAATAAGATAATATTCATTTGATTAGCATCAGCCCTTTCAAGATAGTTTTTGTATGGGCATTGTTTACAAAGTATCAATTCAGCAGAACTACGTGATGAGTCAACCCTCAATTATATGTTGGAGAAGTATTTACCAGCAGTAACTATTTAAGTATTCCTTTAATTCTTACCAAAAAAACCACACCCAAAGAACAATAGCAACAACAGGACTTGTTTCAGCCACAGAAAAAATAGGGCTGTCATGGAGTTCTTATGGTTTCTTGAAGCCACGACATAAGAGTAAAGGCAACACCACCAAATGATCAAGAATTCTAATGAGCAAAGAAAATTCTAATTGGGCAAGGAAAAAAGGAACATGCATGTGTAATTAAGGAAATAGAATTACCAAACTTGAGAAGATCAAATATAGGCAGTGTGGTGGTGTGGTAGTTATCACAGAGTATTACATTTGCTTAGAAATACTATGACCTGTCTGAGAGATGTCTTGGCTGAGCCTTACTTTGAGCTGTCACTGAGAAACATTTAACATTCACCTTCTGTCCCCTTAATGCTCTCTGTCTTGAAGATTTGGTGATCTGAAGCAAAACTCATTGAAAAGGGCAAAGGAGAATCAATACCATTTGCTGCCTCCCCTACAAACAGGACCCATTGTTTTGCACCTATGATTAGGCTGTGTAGAACGCAACACTTTCCTCTAGAAGCTGGTTAGATTACTGTTGGATCAGACTACATTGCAGGCGCTATTAATCCAGTACTAGTACTGAATCAAAGTGTTAAGATTTTCTCCTATATTTTCTTAATATGCAGTATTATGGTATTATTGATGAGGTACCCTCTGCTGAGAATACAGAAAATATGCAGTTTGTCCAAGATAGCTTTCTTTTGTCAAGAGATCAACATGGTGGGAACCTTTACCAGTCTAGTACAAATCAAAGGCAACTTCTGGAGTGGATAAACAAGGAAACAAGTGCATGTCATTGTGACACAAACTCGCTTCCTTTAGAATCGGTGTTGTGATGTCACAAGCACATATGTAAGGAGAGGAGCTTGCACAGCAACACCGTGACTCTCATTTTGTCATGTTGAAGATTGCTGAATTCTATCAACACTTTGATACATATCAAATGGATTTGGCAGTGATTCCTATTCAGCCAGTATCAGTGACTACTATATGATGACTAGAGATTGCATGAACTGTAGTCCAGATTCCAACGTATCTTATTAAGTTGGGAAAGACTGTTAATATGATCATTATGTCTGCACTATAAGGGCAATGCCACGGTTTTGTAGTTAGGTTGCCATAGCTGAGGTTTTCACCAAATTATGACTCTTTGAGATACTTGCAAATTAAGATGTAGTCCCTCCTGCAGGAAGCAAGAAGTATAGTTGTGCAAGAAATGTTGCAGATGGTACACTTACTTTGAGCAATTTCTTCAAATAACAGTATGCCCAAGCTCTCACTTGCACACATATACACAGAAACATAAAGATGCTTAGCCTATTGGTATAACAGTAAATGCTTCTACATAGCAGAGCATGCTAAGAGCGACTGCTGCTTGGCACATGCTTAGCAAAAGAGCCCCCACACTCAAGCTCATTGTTTCACCCTCCCCACCCTGATGCTGAGATTGCATCAGAACCTATAAAGTTTGCTAATGTAACACATGCTGCATGCCAGATCAGGAAGAGAACATTGTTAGCTGGACAATAGTTGCTGAAAGTCAGAGCCTTTACTCTGATAGAAGCTGTGCTGTGACAGGCCATATCCAGGTAGCTTCTCAAACTTGATAGCTTTTTGACAGCTTTAGCTTCTTCCTCCACTCACCATTAAAGATGCAGAGAGAGGGGACATGACTAGCATAACAAAACAACCCTCTACAAACCAATAGAATAAAATAAATTTCTAGTTTGCTAACAGTACCATTAGAGTAGAATTTGTGCATCCAATCAAGGATGCCAAAGGCTACAAAAATGATTATTATCGAGGCGTTAAATCTGGGTGAAACCATCATAGGACAGCAGCGGAGCAGGTATATGAGCCAAGGGAAATATAATTTGCAGTCTCCAGGTATTGTAGGATGCTCCATTGGACATTACATAAAAGTAAAAGAAGGCAGCCCACAAGGGTGCTTGTGAGAGAATTGGAGAAATGAGTACTGTGAATGCTGTCTTGGCTCCTGAATGGAAGGCAGGAGATAAGTCTAATAAATAAATAAATAAATAATTATCTAAAGTCCTTTATTCTTCTTACGACAGAAATTTGGCATTCTTTTCACCTTGGATCACACTCATTATCTCTTTAAGTAAGATTTGTTTATTTATTTTGTTAAGTTAGTAATTTTTTAAAAAAATATTTCTTAAGAAACACAGCTTGTCCCCATCTTTTACTGTTTTAATTCTTGCTTACAATATGAGCTTAGTTTGTTACTAGAAAACTTACATATGTGGTTTGGAGTGAATGCTACCAATTATTGGGCACTAGTTATTGATGCAAATTGAAAGCAATGTGTACCAATTTCTCAATGGTTGCAGACTGTTAATGCATCCTAGCGTTAGTTGAACAGTAGCTTTGGAGTGTAGGCAGGGCAGAGTGTCTGCAGATCTATACCTCTCATCATGCCCTTCTGTTTGCCAAGACTGAGAATGCACATTCATTTCTGTCTCTGCTGGATCTTCTAGGTTGCTTGGTCCTTTTACATTGATCACCAGCTTAAGAATAGAAGGCTGTAAAAGAATCCAACAACTTCCCTGCTTAAGGTGAAGTCTTGGTATATTGGGAGAGGAATACTGTAGAGTTTCAGGCAGTGGTAGCAAGGAATGCTGACTTTGTGATATTAATAGGAGTTATATTAGTTTTCCCATCATCTGTGAATAAATACATCAGGATAGAGTTAACTTCAGATACAAGTAAAGCACACTTGCAATAATATCTTTTAGAGGAGTTTATATTTATGCATCAATATCACACATCTCCTAGCTTAGGAGAAATAAGCATCTTCCATGCATTTAATGAGATCAAAATGAGAGGTAGAGTCCAAGAGGTACTGTCAAGAGGAAGAAGCATTGATATATGGACATCTTCAGCCACAGATGGGAAAAAACCAACCTATACCTGCCCCTCAACCTTGTCAGCATGCTGCCCATGACTAAGTGGGATGGGAGAGCCCTAAAAGATAATAGATGCTGTGATGTGCAATGGGCAGCGTATTTCATGTACCCCTTTCTAAATGGATAAATGTATTATTATAAAAAAATCTGAAGAAATATCTTTTAATTTTCATTTATGTTACGACATCATCTCTTTTTCAAGTGTAATTTAAATGAAATATCACATTGAAAAGTAACCCTGCTCTTTCTGGGTATTAGTTACAAATGATCATGATTGACTTTTGGGAAACAGTTGTTTGGCCCATAGCTAGAAATGTGTCTTCATTTCATTTCTGATGTAAGAGCAAAGCATTCACAGCATGATGATAATTCCTGGAAAGATTGTGTGCAGTCCTTATCTGAAGAACAGGACTGGAGGGTTGGGAAACATTCTTTCATTTTGCATCAGTATAGGCCCTAGCATCACTGTCTCCTTAAATGAATGAATACTTGTCAAAGACAATGTCAATCTTAGAAACAAGAGGATGCTTAGATGAGGAAGTTAAAATAGTTCTCAAGCTCTAACGGGGCACAAATTTAAAAAAGAAAACCCTCACCTGGTTTTCAGCAGGCAATCGTGGCATGGAGGCAGCTCTTCCGTGACCCTCCATGGGTAAATACTGATCACTATCTGAGTAGCCATCTTTTGCCATCTCCCGCATCTCTACAGACTAAATTGGACAAGAAAGATATTAGGATCAGAAGTCATAAGAAACAAATAAAAGAAATGCTATTCTTTTCAACAGCTGGGAAATTGGAAGAAACAGAAATAATAAACTGCAAAGTAAAGATTAGTTTATTAAAGAGATACTGCAAAATTTAAAAATTACTTAATATTTTAAGTGCTTTTTCCAGCAGAGCAGATTTCATTATTCTCTAGCTCTTCAAAGGTTTTCTACCCATGGTGAGAAGGAATGAATATTTGTTTCCAATACATGCATCTCTATGTCCCAAGGAACTTTAAAGACAAAAAGAAAACACTGAGATATTCTTAGAGCTCCCAAAATACAGCACCATCTTATTGATACAAGAAAACTTATCTCCAAAGTACTTCAGCAAAGGAACATATATAATCAATACAGGTACTCTTGCTATCTTCTATTGATATGATGACATCTGGAAAAGCCCTTAGACTAGATGGGATAATCATAGACTGGTATTAAAAAAATTAAGCAGGTTCTATACATCTGGGGATATTTTAGTTTTATTCCTCTCAAAAATAAACTTCTGCCAGTTTTATATATATTAAGCTTACATCACTGAAATTATGAAGTCAGTTATGGGTCCTACCAACATACTTCATTTGATATCTATGTCAAAAGTTGTTGCTAAGATTTTGCAGCTACATTTGTGAGATTTCAGTACTTATTACCTGCATATATGGTATATATGACCTATTTGATTTAATAGTTTTGTATGCAGATAAGATTCATCTACATATACTGTTAGCTTCGTTGGATGTGAAAAAGCTTTTCATGTGGGTTTAATCAAACTTATGTCTAAGTTTAGATTTCCTATATAATTTATTTCTTTTATTATAATTAATTATCTTAATCTATCCACTCATATTAACTGGCATGTGGTTATTTTAGTAGTGATTAAATTGCACCAGTGAATTTGTTAGAAATGTTCTAATAAAGGAGAATATCTGTAGCTGAGGGTTGAAATGAGGGGTCCTTGCTGCTCTCTGAGCTTTGTTGTTTTTAGGACTAGAACTGAGGATGTTACCTAGTTTAGCTAATGAAACGCCTGCAAGAAAACAACGTATACTTATTGTATTGTGGTATTAAAGTTTCATAAAGTAGTTAGAATGGTGATACAATAAACTGTGGTTATTATATCACTCAATATTGTGTCACTCAAATAAATACCTAATCCATATTGGCTTAATCGATTTCTATCTTTTGGTCCTATGATCTGATGGCATATAGAACTTCTCACTGTAAACAATTTTTTTCTGAAAAATTCTGCTATACAGCTGGCATGACAGGCAGGGACAAGAAAAAGAAAAAAGTAGAGATAGATAACTGCCAGGTCAAACATCCTGCTGGCATAGAAACCACCTGGGAATTGGTCCGGCTATTGGGTATTTCCTCTAACCGCCCCCGCTCTGGGCTCCAGGTTCCTGTCTTCTGGAACATCTCCTGTGCTCTTTGCGTGACCCATGACTCACTTTCCTTCATTCCTCCTTCCTGTATACTCCTGGAAATAGATAGAAAAAGTCATATTCCAACCATACATCTTTCAAACTGTAATGAATCTATGTGCACAATCATAATCTGTTTATCTGTCCATCCCCCAAGCATTTATAACTCTGTGTTGATATATCTGTGTTGATATTCCAGCAATATAAGTGGCTCAGTGGTGGGTTCCGGATCCTGTTGCAACTAGTCTGGTGCAATGGGGCCTGGCTTCCACCACATGAACGTGCGCAGCGTGCACACACATGTGCATTCTTACCTCTTGTGACGCCTCCGCAAGCCTCTGCGATGCTCCAGCTGCTTGGCGGAGCATCATGCAGGCGCTGTGTGCTCTGTGTGCGTGCGCAGAAGCGCTAAAGAGCTCAAATACAGGTAAGGAACTCGGGCGGGTGGGTAGGCCCTCTGGAGAACCATACCGGAATAGTACCCAGTGCTCCGGGCAGGCAGCGGTACAGGGCATATCGCCTGCAACCCACCACTGAAGTGGCTCTATTTATACTGCTAGTCTAGAAGATGAAGAGTGGCCATTGTGTTCTCCAGTGTATTGTACTATCATATCATCTTCACAAAAATTGCTGAAAGACTGGGGAAAGGCATAGCAAGTCTTCCTTGGCATGGGAAACTGTCTGTCTTTATTGAGTACAAAAGTGCATCTCATGAGCTTCTTGATGTTAATAGTAATGTCATTGTGGTGATAACATTGTGTCAGTTACCATGCCCTATGTGGCTTTTGAAGGCTAAGTAATATTGCAAAATGAAAATGTATATCTCAGTTACAAAAGAGCTTCCAGTCTCTGGCCTACAGTGATTGATAATGTCTCTACAGAATTTCATATTGTCATCTGTCAAGTCCTTTTTGTAGATGTCATTGATGGAATGTTTTGTCCTCAAAGTAGGCCACAGGTTTACTGACTATGATCCTGTTTCCAATGACAGAGAATTAACCATTCATTGACTTTCTAATGCACTAGTAGTAGCAATGGTTCAGTAAATGTCTCGTCTGAAGTACTTGTTTCTGTATGGATGGAACTGTCCTATATAAACGAGAACTCACATTCCACCTCCTTGATCCAATTGAGAGGAAGGAAGGGCATTTTGTCCTTGACCACCTTCTTGGGTTGGAGAAGGTGGTTCCATGCGCTGGAACATAAGTGGTGTCCGATTCTAAAGGGAACAGGATGATACAAATATTAAAAAGACCTTGGAGATATTTTCTAATCTAGACATCATCAGATTACCTTTATTTCCTTCAGTAAATTTCCGATCACTTGAAAAACTTTTAGAACAAATGATTTACTGTTTGCCTTCCAACTTTGAGAATATGAAAATAATAGTTCTAAGCAGATATTATTCATAAATTGCAAAAAGGAAATCACAATTATTATTATGTCATAACTTCAAACAGTCACTAGAAAGAAGAACTTTAAATTATTTTTATATTGTGCATCTCTGTTGGTGGAGTTTCTTGGCTCTCTAAAACATTTAATTATAGGTGGATATAAAATTATATGGATTTGTGCGCGCACACACACACACACACACACACACACTCATGCATATACACAAGTGTTGGAATTTCCTAGCCAGGCTGTAGCACTTTGTGAAATGTATTTTAGTCCACTGTGAATCTGTCCAAGATTTGTTGTACTCCAGAAATGCTCAATTACTTGCATTTAATGGGTTGAATTTGTAACCTAACATATGTAACAAGAATTAATTAGGAGTAATCACTGAATAAAAACATCACCTTTTTAAAATCTTAAGTTTTTTTTAAACTACACATGATTTGCTGTAAATAGAAAGCATAAAAAAACCATTCAGCAACATTTTCAGATTTGGGAACGGTGGCATATTTATTTTTACATTTACATTTTTCACATACCTGCTCCTAATTAATTCTT